AGGAATTCAGATTATCTTTTCTATCACTTTAACAGAGTTTGGTAAGGAATTTTCATTTAACAGGGAATTTTTATTTAACAGAGATTATTAAGGAATTTTTATCGCTCTAACAGAGATTGTGAAAGAAAATTTTTATAACTTTAACGAGATTGTGAGGGAATTTATTGAATGCAATTGTTTGCTGCCTTCATTCTCAACACTTGGTACTTTTTTTTATAACAAAAAGAAAAAAGCCCAAAGATAATAAAATAAAAATTCAGTTGGTATTTTGCGTCGAGCGCGTATAGCAAACAGTCCGTGCAAACAAACCGTGCACACGGGTCGTCGTTAAACCATGCCCTTGGTCAAGACAAGGAAAAAATTCTACTTTTAGTAATTCGTACGATTTCCTAGATGTAGCGGTTTTAAGCATACGAAAAAATGTTAGTGTTCATGTTTCATTGTGAACATTTTTTTAGGATAATACTTCTACAGAAAAATTAAGTGGACCAAGTTTGATACACATGGCTCTATTTCTTGGACCCCTCTCATAATTAGAATCTCCTTCAGAAAAGGGTTACATTTTCATATTTTGTGATACAAATTGGTAAATGGTAATAATCTACGAAAAGAATTGACAGTAGGGAATTCGGATCACGTAAGCCTGTTTTATAGACTTCAACATATATAGGGATCATCACGAAAGCAAACCATTATGTAGAGGAAAGTTTAATTTGTAGTCCTTTATGAAGAGAAACTAATAAAATTTTTAAAGAGTACATTAAGTATGCTAAGATCGGGCCACCAAAGCTTACACAAAAAAAAACCTATATCAAAAAAACTTTATTAAGGTGATGTTTTGGGCATTTTCCAGCAGGCCTTTGTGAAGTGTATGCTGTATTTCCAACACGAGTGAATAACTGTACTAAGCGAAATGGTGTAGGGTATCTTACTATCGGCCTTGTTCGACTACAATGTTCTTTCTTGTTTTTGATTAATTAATATTCAGTATTAACAAGTAAGAAAATTGTATTCGGCTCCGACCCCTTCCATTATCCTCATCATCGTTATTCTAAAAAAGGCCAAAAGAGGAAAAACTAATTTTTTCTATTTTTATGGAACAAAGGAGGAAATATACGCTTTGTATTGAGTATGCCCTATTTATGAGCAACGAGCAAAAAACACGGTAAGTAAGAATATTCTCAATTTTGATTGCATTGTGGACGTGTTCTTTGCCCGATCTCGACCATTTTTAAATTCTTTTACAAATTTGTTCGTGTTATCTTGGTTTTTGTGAAAAAGAGAACCTTTACCACAGATACGACCAAGTAAGACCTAAGAATAGATGGACAGACGGACATACTTAGGTACATTCCAAATTTGATTTGGTAAAGAATGTATATAGTTCGTGGTGTTTTTGAAGCTTTCTTCTGGGCGTCATAAAGGGTTTGGTAGAAAACAGAAATTTTGGTACACTATGACAACGGGTAGGCATGGCCGATTTTTCGCATTTTTTTGCATACAAAAAGATCACTCACAAAATATAGGTTTACGTTTTTATAGCTTTATCTGCTGCAGTTTGTGTGTAATGCGCAAAAAACAATATCTCCCCTTTGGAAAATGGTTTACTTAGAATCGTGTTCGATGATCGTTTTGGCCTACTTTCAATGCCGACTCGCCTACGAGAATTTCCAATGTTTCTGTCAGGTTGGAAGTCGATAGCTTCATTTTTGTGGCCAGGAGAATGTTGGCAGCAGACATTACAGAGACGGGCGGATGCGCTCGCGGATATGTTTAGGTCGATTCAGAATACTGATGCTGATCAGGAATGTACATACTTTAAGGTGTCTCTAAAGCCTCCTTGTGGATGTTGCCAACGTTTTGAAAAATTAATATACTTCCCTTCATTTGGTGATGGGTGATAAAAAATAAATACACTACAGAAATTATTTCAAAATTTTATTTATTCAAATCATAATAATAATGATTGTAACAATTTTGTTATATAAATGTATATGAATATGTCCATCTGACTGTTTCTTGTATTTTAAAGTAAAGACTGAGATAAATATATAAAAACAGTGAAGGGTTTATTACAAGAAGTATATGGTTTCTACTTAGGATATGATATTTTGGATATGTAGTATGCCGTCAACAATTTAGAAATCGAGTTTACGAGTCTTCTTTATATCCATCACTGAAGTATGACGATGTACTAAATTTACCGCCGCCGCAAAGTTGACATTATAAACATTTTTGAACGACATAAGATTTCGAGTTGATATAGCCCTGCGCAGCTTCCCACGAGTTCGCTTGTCTCTTTCCCATTTGTTGTTCGCGGTCATAAAAATTGCGGTAAAAAGCTGAAATTTGGCCATACATTTTCAGTTGATCGCCACAGACCCAAACTTGGTACAAATGTTTCCTAAAGACATAAATATACAAAATTTTGGAGGCCATCTGACGAACAAACAGTTCACAAATAGTTTACAATAGTTCTGCACATGTTTGAAGTAAGGCGAGTATTCAAGATTTGCCCCAAAGCGAATGTAATTTTCTTACTTGAAGAAGTTACATTAAAAAAAAAATTCAATAAATTAGATATGGATTATGAATATGATAAAGCTTTTAATATATGTACATACAAATATATGTTAAAAAAGCATTTATGTGACAGTAATTAATTATATCTGTATAGCATATTGTCTTTTATAGAATCAATAATAATTACTCATCATATTTATTAATTAAATGTAAAATTAATTGAGTTCTTTTTCCTAATATTTGTTTTCCACTTACATTTTCTAGTTTATTTGAATTTTTTGCTAATTTTGATTTAACAAATTAGCGCTTATGTGAATTGAATGAATATTTTAATTGCTTCTAAAGTATCTATTGCAGTGGTTGTGTATATAAAAATGAAGGCACAAACTTTTTACCATACAGCTTAAATGCTCTGTTCAGCAGCTTTTCATTACAATATTTAATCGATTAAGTTTAGGAGTACCTATGTAGAGTGTGTACGTTCGGTTATGATTTTTCATTTCTTTTTATTATTCTTGGTCCATTATATATTATATATTTTACTATGTATACAAAAAAAGTGGGGAAAATAAACTTACTCCCCCCCTCTCTCTCCCGTCCACCAAATAAGCTTTATCCGCTAATAACATTATTACTTAAAACTTATATTTTTCTTGCATTTTTTACTTAAACAGTATATTTAAGCTTAACAAAATTTAATTATTTTAAAGAAAATACATTATGCCTCGCGGAAATCCTAATTCAAGTACTTGAATGTATCCGACAAATGGAAGATTATTCAAGTTACTATATGTTTCTATATTCGACAAATTCTGTTCTTCATAAAATATGAATCGTGCTAAATAATGACGGGTCCATCGGTCGACTGTTTGGTATGCGGATGCAAAGATACGTTGTTGCTTAAAGATATTCCGTTACCCTGAAGGCTTATATATGAAGTTGAAGTTGGAAGTTCTAACATTAGCAGACGTCATATTTTAAGTGGATCATTGCAACATGACCACCATGTTAATATAAAATTTTGAATTAATTAGCTCGTCTGTCAGATCGAACAATGCGTGGGATGCGAAGCTGAAACTAAAAAAACCAGACGATCAGACCAGACATAAGCCCTCTGAAAAAAGTTAAATCGCCTTTGGCGAGCAACGCCTACCATTAAATATGCTACACCACATCGCTTTATACAAATCTTCCCTTAATGTAGTCATGAAGTGCCAAAAAGTGCCTTGTTCTGTAGTGACTTTCATTGTTTGTAAAACCTTTTATGCGATAAGATGATCTTAGTTCACCGAAATTTCCTGCATTTATTTAACGTACGAAAATATATTTTTCTTCTGATTTTTGTCGATAAATAATCAAAAAGGTAAAGTATATTGATAAAACTTTTTAGAAGTAGAGCGTTATAGAGCAAGCGGTCATAAAAATAGTTCGATCTGATTCATTGTCCACAGAGTTTTCCTCAACATCTCAAATGTCATGGTGTGTATCTTGAAAATAAAAATACTTGCACACACTTAATCAGCCCGTCGTACGGGGAGATAAGTCGCATTAAATCGACTCAAAAAATCAACTATTATAATAAAAGGTGGGTACGTTATAATTCATACGTTATTTAATTCATACGAACTTGGTTTACTAATTCTTCCGGTCAGTGGATGTTTTAGAAATACTCTGGGAAATCGACGAATGCATTGAAGGACCAGAAAACTAATTATTTATCTCCAAGCGAAGGAAGTTTTATAGGTTGGTTGAAAAGTGAAATATATATGTGTCCAATGCTAGACATGAATTTGAATGAAGTGTTTTCACGATCGTGTTGCAAATACGTGTTGCATTTTCTTTAAGTAGAAGATTGGTGCTATTTACTGATACTTTCAACAAACGGCACTCAATACAGGAAACATGAGAAGCGCTCAAAAATTTTCTTGTTCTTCATTCTGCGATGGAAATTGTGTAATTCAATACTTTGTCCTATTCGCGTTGAAATGTTTTTTTATACAAATAAGCTAAAGTAGCTTTAATCATAGATATGTTTTTCTAGTTGATCAACTCTTCCAAAAAAGTGTTTATATATAAATGTCTGCATAGGGGCGTGAATTAATTAGTAATGAACACATAAACGTTTGTATATTTTGCATGTATGTTTGTAAACGTTTTAAAAAGTGTACATTTATTAAAACGTTTTCCTTTTTCACTATCCACTTATACATTACTAGTACTATTTAGTTGATGCAAATAGTTGATGTTGATAAGTGCGTATATATAATAACCTAATATATAAATGTAGTGGAATTGTATATGTGACAATTTATGCTTAATTAAGCAATTAACAATTTAAAACTTGCTTTTATTACAGCGGTTATGTATATAAATTTTGCATTCATTAGAGAGACAGGCTGTAAATGTATAAAAAGAGAAAATAATTGGTTGATTGGTTTAGAATGTGTAAACAATTTTATGTGTGGTTTTTTTTTTTTGATATTTTTAATCGTGATCATTTTCAATCCAATCGGATTTAGCCCAAGATGGCAGTTCAGTTTCATATTCCCAGGCGGGACCCTTTAAAAGGACGTTTTGTATATGATTAAATTTTAAAAATTCGTTTATAAGCTTTATAATTACTTTATATGTCCAAGCATGCAGATACATAACGAGATCCTTTGGTTTGGGGTCCCGGTAGCGTACTTTACACTCATAACAATGCTTATCTGTTGTCATTTTCTCAGCATTAAATGCCATGTCTGGGGATTCGTGACCAGTTTGTGTGGCAACAGTAACCTAAATTTGCGCAAAGTTATACATTAATTAAATTTTGCATATACGCCTACACATACGCATGCATTCAAGTTTACCTTAATGTGCAAATTTGCGCTTTGTCTTTTACCATTAATGGTGCCATCACTGTTACAATTAACAATGTCTTCCTTTTCTATGGCCGCCATTGATGTAACAGAATTTAAATTCGCGGAATTGACGCATAAATTATCGCTATGCATCTCTTGCGGATCGTTAACGTTTTCATTTGGCGACGATTCTACAATTCGTGGGCTGTCCGTGCAAACGGGTGATGCCCCACGTGAGGCTGTCTCTGAATCATTATCACTTAAGCTATTGACTGCAGAAAAGAAAATATGAAATGATTTAGCATTTGTTGATATTTCAATGATGTGGAATACGAATGATTTGTTTACCTTTTGGTGCACTGGCAAGACGTAAAGCATCCGCATCGCAATCACTTTTAACCGATTTAAAAATTGACATATCAGAATCACCATCTATACCCAACCAGTTTTCAGCGTTATGGATGTTAATTAGATCACGAACCAATTCATCATCCGTTTTACCGCCAATATCACCGCCACGACCTTTTAGCGGCCCAAATACATCATGATTATATAAGGGATCATTGACGACGGGATAACCTAAAAAAAAAAGTTGAATTCTTGTGACATGGACATAAAATTCTATATTCGAAAAATAGGGGAAATATTTTTATTAAGAAATAGGGCTTTTAAGTTAGAGCTTTTTCTCTAATTGTTATTCAAAACAGTCACCGACCTGTACTTAATGTCTTTTACCGATCCAAACATATGGCCAAGAGCTCGTTTCTTTAACCGTGGTAGAAAAAATATCTTCGTTGTGCCCTATCAGGCGAATGTGTCGCTGGTGGATGAGAATTAGTTCAATTTTTATTGATAAATTGACGAATATTGAGTTGTTTTCGAATAAGACGCTAAGAAGGTTAAACAACCGTAGACCGGCCTTTTCAATTCTTGGGATTGTCCCAGTTCATATTCCAATTATATATACAATATTTCTAATGTTTAACTGATTTTTGCTGAACACGAGATCCTTGATTTTGTTAACAATTGAAATTGATTGTCCTGTCGGACGTGCTTTGTCTTTCACTTTTTCCCGTCGCTTCAAAGCCTAAGAAGGTGGATACTCCCATTTTCTGAAATGTTTGTAAAGCCCGGCAGAGACATTCAGAGATCCCATTAAAGTATCAATACCTTTGGCTAGCATCAAATACTGACTCCTAACCATGTATGTGTTGTTTAGATTCTCTTAATGGCAGAAGGTAAGTTAGAGGCTTCAAGTTTGTCAAAGACATTGTAATTTATTGTAATTAGGTTGACATTGAAAATCAGCGAAGTTGGTCAAAGAACACGCCATGACAGTGCACCATAGTTGGCAACGCCTTTGTTTTCAACAGCAACCAAAAATTTAGCTTTTCGCTGATTACTCATTTCCTTAAACAGATATTGTGATAAAAATATAATCATATTCAATGAGTGAGCCTACGATATCTGTACAAAAAACAAATCGGCTATGCTCATCCAATAATATAGGGTATCGAAATTTCATTTGTTTGCGTTGCACTCTTCAAGAAAAATGTGATGATTATGTAAGATTCGTTTAAGGCCGAATTTCTTTCTCTTTTTTGCATTATTTAGTTACACATACATCGATAGATATACTCCATAATAGATACAGCGAACGAGATGTCCAACTCGGTACGAAAGCAATAAATCACTATCAACCGAAAGACGATCGTATTATTCTTGTGCTTCGTACCCTACGATAGCGCGATAATGAGGATCGTAAACAGACAGCTGCTCCTACTCTAGGTAAGAAGGCTGTTCCTGGTCGTCGACGTCGATAATTATTATTTCGCGATAACACCATGCAGGTACAGGGCCTGTAATTAATGAAGTACTTCTCGGGAATATTAACAGTGGAGTGCAAAATAAGAGTTTCAGTTCATTTGAAGATAGAACTTCGGTGTAGAATTGTTTTGCATTAAATAATGCTTTGAAAATACGATGTATACGCTCCTAATCGATCTGCATGAACTAAATAAAACTATATGACCACCTATGATCGCAAGATTCAGGAAAGCAGAAGAAATCCGACTCAGATTCAGATGCAATTGAATACCGGAACTCGATCTTATTATTTAAAGCATAAGCGATTTTGTTTATCTGTTTTATTTAAGATTTACTGTTCACTGACATGCATCCTACAATCGATTACACGTTTTTCTACAAAATGCAAGTATGCACCAACTAACAGTAACGAACCTTAGTCATTAATTAATAATCATAGAATAGGCGAATAGCGTACTGATTTATCTATTTCCTCGTCCGTTTAAATTGCAATTCCTGAAAACAGCGTTACACCGAAGCCAACAAGCTCCGCTCAAACCAACAATGTCTATGATCAGCTAATTAACTAATTAAATATTTTCAACTAAGCAATTATGGCATAATTATTGAAAGAAGTTTATCTTGATTTCGAGTTAGTCCTATCGCCAATTGTTATTTTTTTGCTCTGCGCACTTATACGTCGTGTTCTGGCATTTTCGAGAACAAGTTCGTCTTGAAAAATATAAAGTGCCCTGGAAACAAATTCATTTTTGATCGGGTAGATTATAATCAAATTGTTTAGCAGTCGCAAAGCTATATCCTATTTTTTTTCTTATCGTACGACAGGGAGAATGTTAAATTTTTTGAATGTCTGCGTAGCTTAAAAGTAAAACACAGGTTCAGTGACAAATGCAAATTTAATAATAGCTTAATTTTCAATTGTCTTCAGCTTGTCAATATGCGATATCCCGTCTTTATCCCAGAGCCCATCAGCCATAACCTTTTGAATGTCGAATGTAGATATGCTTAATCTTCGTCGAGGACTGTCCATCAAATCAAATCGGAATATGAATTTTGGTTCTGTGGAGATTCGTAATAGATTCGGACATCGCAGTGATAATTAGTACACAATCTAATAACTCGTCTCGTTCAGTGAAGTAATCTTCGAAAGTCGACTGGGCATTATCATGAAGTGTTTTCCCCTTTTCTTCATATGATAAGAATTCCAGCTCCTACTTTGATCACTTTTCGATTTGTTACGTTATTGCCTTTACAAGTTGTCGCACAGAAAGTCAAATGATGTAAAAGCACTTACAAAACTGTTGCTCCTGAGTACTGGTCACTCAATCTACGTATTCTTTGTTTGTGTGTTGTATTTTTAAACTAACACAAAACTAATAAGAGAATTATGCTTGGTCGAGATCGAGTCTATTATAGCCTTACAGTTATCCTTAAAAAAAAAAAAAAAAAAAAAAAAAAATAAATAAATAAATAAATTTGCATGCTCTTTAATATGAAATGGGCGGGGCTGATTTTTTCTATTTTAAAAATAAAACTTTTATTGCATAGGCGTGTGAGCGTCCGAAAACTTTAAGTCATTTCCAAATTCTTTTGGAAATCTGTAGGGGATGTATCTATTTTTTGGCTGATGGGAGAATGTTTACCACAAATACCACCCAGTTGCGCGGACAAACGAACAGACGGACAATTGACCAAGAAAAACAGATATTGAAAAAAATGAAATTTTGATGCAATATAATATTGGGTAGTGATCAATTTTTTCCACTTTTGTGCAGGTATTTCGCATCGCCTACAGAATATGTATTCAAATTTTTGTACATTTATCTGTAACGAGCCGTTTATGAGTAACGAGCAAAAAACCGACTTTTTATTCGACAAAGGTGTTCCCAGTTTACGTGGCGCTGTGCGCGTGTCCTTCGATCGATTTGGCCCATTTTCAATATCAACCTGCGTACAAGAACTTTCAACGTTTCTGTAAAATTTGAAGCCGACGGCATCATTTTTGCCGTAAGGAGAATACTTACAACAGACATTACACAAGAAGAAAGAAACATGAACGTGCAGACGGACATGTTTAAATCAATCTAGAATTTGATTCTGATCAAGAATATATACAGTTTGTGGGGTCTCTGAAGTTTCCTCCTGGACGTTGCAAACGTTTTGACAAAATGATGGGTATGAAAAGATACGTCAATTTAAAGGTTCGGCCATTTTTATCAAGCGTTAAACTATGCCATCTTTTCCTTCAGTGCAGTTAGTGCATTGAATTTAATTTTTAAAGGTAAAAAATTCGGAAAAGTCTAGCGAAGATTTTGCTGATACTTGGATTTATTTATTTATCTGTATTTATTTATATGCAAACGATTCCGATTGAAAATGTTTATTATCCAACTTATCGATACGATTATAATGTTATACACTTGCTTCCTCGTTTTAATGCGGATTAGTGGACGTTTAAGAATTCTGCTCAATCTTGCTTTTGATTTTTTGTAGGATTCTTCACTTGAGATGCACGGTCTATAAAGTTTGTGCGCACGTATGTAATCCCTAGAATGGTTTACGATGAACGCACTTTGTATTATATTTTATGATTATTAATCGATGTAAATCGAGCGCTATTGCGCCGATTATTAAAAAAAAAAACATAACAGATTGCTTTTTGTATGAGGACACTTAGTCTCACGCAGGAAAACATTAGTTATACATAACTGTTATGTGTTACCACTTTCGTAGCTTCTTTTGGTTTTCCTTTGTTCCACAACACATTTACGATGCATACTTATATACTTGCATAGTGTTTGCGAATTTTTAAGTACACATATTTTTTTCGTTTTCAAAATTTTTGAAATTTAATAAACGATATAAGCAGACAATACGTATCAAAAAATTCAATGTAATTCGACGCCATTTTTTTACTCTTTTTCGATATTTTGCTTTTGCTATGATTTCATTTTAAGTATAGATTTCATTCGTTTCACTTACCTAAGTACTGCAAGTGTACACGAATTTGATGCATACGACCAGTTAAAGGTTTGCACAGCACCACACTGGTTTGTCCGTTATAGGAAATCTTCTGAAACTTTGTTGTACAATCTTTTCCCTTTGGCGACACCTTGCAAACACCAATTTTATAGCTAACAACTTCGATTGGTTCCGTGCATTCGATGACTCCCCTAAGAATAATTTAAAGTCAATAAGACAAACAGGAGGAAATAAGGCAAACACAGCCACATGAGAGGCAATAAAATACTTGAACATTTTAATGGAATAATTAAATACCTTTGTGACAAAAAAAAAAAGACCAAATTAGAAATAAAATCAAGAAATCTCGAACAAGCGAAATGTTGATTAAATTAATCAAACTATTCTTTCTTTTTCTTGTACCCATTGCAGGAGATTTGTTTGATTTGTCATACGATAAAGATGAAGAAAGAAAAGCTGATTGCAAAATTTTTATCTATTGGGTGGAGTTAGGCTTAATAATCTAATAGAGAATGTTTGACGTTAAACTTTATCTTTTCTTTCGCGATTTGCGGTGTCGTCTTTCCCATTAGGCGATTTTTTTTCTGCTTTTAGCTGCATTAAAATAAACATGAAAAAGAGAGCGAGAGGCATATTAGATGAATTCATTTCATCGAATGACAAAATTGAACCTTTTTTCAGCTATCCGGCGCTATATTTTGTGCGTAAAATGTCAGTCGGAACATTATAAACGGACATAAAAATATACACCTTCTATGTACCACTTCAACTACAGACGCGAATAAGGCTTATGAACTGTCACTTTTTACACTTTATTAATTTATTTACATTTTTGGCGATTTAAATCTAGACGCTTCGCAAAAGGTTTTCTGTAGCACTTCACAGATTTTAATTTCGCGGATAAAACAATATTTAAAACAGGCCGTTTGACCAACTAATTTGCTATTGCGAAATCGCATATTGTGTGAAAATGTGATTTATGATATAATAAAAAGTTACAACCTCACAGTTAGGCAAGGCAGACAGGACGCACCCCAGTACAGCATTTTGATTGTTTATCTTCGCATTTTCGTCATAAAATACTAAAAAGTTTATTTTGAGCATGTCGAGGAGTCCAAATGTAGCGCTTTTAATTTTTTTATTGCGGAACTTACTATTATTCGTTCATTTTCGCGTAAAATGCGAAATATTAATAGAGGAGAGAAAGTGACAAGAGTAGACCAACAGACGTCATCCAAGTTTAAAATAAAAAAGAATCCCAACAGGAAAGAAAGTGAGAAAGGTAGACCAACAAAAGTCGTCCCAGTTCAAAGTAGTAGGACCTATAAGTCAAACACTTTTCTTAGACCGATTTTCATTACGAAATGCTAAAAATTAGATGTTTTTGTCGGTCATATATCAGCTTATTTTTATGGGAACATTTATAATGAGAAGGGGTTGAAAGCGTGGACCCACCGTTCGGTGTCAATTTTCCATATTCATTTAGTTTGCGAAAGTACCAGATTTGAAAAATTATGTTCGAGACGTACAACATGTGGGAAAATTTTCTCATATAGCGACTTTTTCACAACAAAGCGTTACATGGGGAGTGGTCGTAAATATTATCTGACCAAACTAATCAATAGGATATCTCCTTAGGCTAAAATAAGTCAAATATTTGATATTACATTACATATCGACAATCATGACCTTGAACGCAAGTATACGTGGGCAGACATCAAGCAAATCGACACAGAAACACTCTTGTCATTGAAACAACCGCGTGAATCAATTTGGGCTTTTTCAACGGTTATAAATTTATATAAAGTTCCAAAGCTTTTTGACGAATTTCAGCAATTTGAGAAAACTTTTTATAACCACCACTGAGAGATGAGGGGCATATTCATTATATCAAAACGTTTGCAACCCCAGAAGGAAGCTACAGAGACCCCGAAAACTATATACATTTTTGATCAGGATCAAATTCTAAATCAATTTAAGCATGTCCTTCTATGTAATGACGATTATCCTTGCGGCAGAAATGGGGCTATCGACTTCAAGTTTGATAGAAACGTTGGAAGGTCTTGCATGCAGCTTGGTATTGAAAATGGACTACCTATACTGAGGATACCTTTCTATTTCAAAGGTTGGTTTTTTGCTCGTCACTTATCAACGTAGATAAATCTACGCAAACTTTAACGTACATCGTATAGGCAATGCTGTAGCAGTTGTAGAAAAAGGAGAAAAGTTGACCAAGCGTACCCAATATTTTAGTCTATTAAAATTTAATTTTTTTTTCAATAACTTTATAACGCGCAGTGACAAGCTTCAAAAATCGCACAAAGTATATAAATTTTTGGGCAGTTTGAAGTTCGGAATGCACCTAGGAATGTCCGTCTGTCTAACTTTGTAGTATCTATATGGTTTAAAAGGACACGCCTACAACGCTCACGGGCCTATGCAGCGAAAGTTTTATTTTGAAAATATAAAAAATATTGCATCGCCCACTTCATATTACAACACATGAAAAATTAGTTCTTTTCATTTTTTTGTTTTTTATCGAATATACTAATTGTCTCGGTTATTATTCATAATGTTCGTATATCGGAAATCCTTCTCAATTCTGTATTCAACAGGACCGACTTGTACAAAAGGCTGTGCGAGATTCAAAGACATTGATGCTGCATTTTACGTTCATTTTTAAAATGAGGTAATTCCAACACTGTACACACTAAATATATGTAAATAAAAGTTTGTCAATTCGCACACACACTCACAATAAATTTTACAGACGAAATATCGCTGGAAATATTACGGGATGCAAATGTCGCACTTGTCATAATTTAATACCGTCCTCCTTGTTTCAAATGAAGGTCGGCATAAAAAGTTACCGCTAAGTCGTACATAATTTTCGTTTTATTTTACGCTAATAGCGACACCATTACTAAGGGTATATCGTATATTATTGGAAACAAATATCGTACATGTGATAATTAAGCGAAGACTGATTTTTCTCATTTCAAGAAAAACGAAAGTTGGATATAAAGCAAATTTAAAATTTATATAAAATTGATTAAAAGCGTTTTACTTACTCTGGAAAATTGCCCTCAACGCGGCAAATATACTCTTTTTGTACTTGGCGATTACGTATCTGGTGTTCCATCTGGCGAGCTTTCTTTGGACTGCGGCCGAATAGTAAGAGTCCAGATGTTAGACGATCTAGACGGTGTATGGTTCGTAAATTTTTCAAATTGTATTCCTTGGCTAAAATGAACACCACCGTATTATGACGATATCTTCCGCATGGATGAACCTTTCGAGCAAACATGTATACGAAGATATTAACCAGAATGCCACGCCAAGAATTGTCAAATAATTTTTTTTTTTTTTTTTGAAGAACAATTGGAAACATAGAAACCATTATATGTTAATGAAAATGCATTCAATTTAGTTTGTACGTATGCAATTTTCATTGTGTTCTTGCTTTTAAATGTTAAAATATAAGGTTTGAATCATATGATATTATTTATTGTTTTTCATTGTTTAATTAAATTTTATATAATGTAAGTATAATTTCTTATATAAAGTTATCTGACAAGAAAACAACTTTAATAACGTTAGTGACGTGTGTTAGTGTTGGCATATGTATGTCAATGAAGAGTGAATTCATGCAAAAGCGATTTTTTTAAATCAGATAAAACCAGAATGAAAAAGGAAATAATAGCATTTAGTCATGTTATGTCAACTCAAGCACTTTTATAAAACAAATGCATCCATCCGTTGTTTCAGTATTGTACGTGGGTGGGTGTATGTTTAACAAAAATAATGAAAAACTAACAATCGAAACGACAACAACCACTATTACAATAAAAACGACTTAGATGGCGGTCATTAAAGCCACTTACTGGTATTGACGCCGGTTTATTCACAACCACAATGTCATCGTCCATGTGCACTATTGTGATTGGTTGACTAGTAACTGGAACTTCATGTCTGCAAATATACACACATACAGAAAAATGATGAAAGGACTGATTGTTGATTAAATGGCGTTTGAATACGAAACGATTCGTTAATGTGATAATCGCGATATTTTGTGTACAAAATGCATAGAATGTCTTAAAAACGCATTGAGAAGTATGGATCCAATTGAATTTTACATTACAGATCATTTGGAAGATTATCCCTGTTACAGTTTTTCTTTTCATTTTAGGCTAATTTGAAATGGGAAAGCACTTAAAGTCAAACTTATATACGAAGAATTTATATGTTATGATAGCTAAAATAATTCGTATGTTTGTCCTACCTGTGCACAATATTGGCCAACAAGTCATTGTGCTTCAAACGATAATCAACCGGTACTTTCTCATAATTAACGGTTAATGTGCCCGATTTTATGCAGCGCTCGTACTCCTCGGCAGGATGTGCTCGAAATTCTCGTGAAAACACGTCCAAAATTTTTTCACCAACCCAACGTCCTTTAGTGAATGTTGTAAAGGTGAAGTAATACGGGTACACTTTTCGTAGACCTTTAAGTAAACAATTTTCTTATATTATAAGTGTATTGCATAAGAGAAATAATGTATGTACTCAAAATCAAAAAAAAAAAAAAAAAATCTATATAAACGATTAAATTTATAGTGATTCATACAATGGAGAAAAAGGAATATATGATTCTTAGTGTAAAATCAAAATAAACCTTAAAAAAGGTTTACTGCGCTGTCTGAAAACATAATTTCAGTTTTACTTCTCCCATAATTCCAAATCATTCATATACATTTTGTGTTATAACTTCGTACCTACGTCAGAGTCAGGCGATTGTGATCGCTTTTACTATGAGTTACAGCTATTTGCTTCAAGCTTTAGATCACCGCACACTATTGCAGTTTTTTGTCATTTTTAAACTTGTTTATGAGCTAATTACGCTCATTTTTGTATTACAAGGTTTGTGTGGCCTTGACAACCACTTGTGTTAGTCTTTAGAGTAATATCTGCTTTAATTTGCAAGTTACAATTGCCTACCTTTTGTGGACAGATTAGATCCATTTTCAAATTTCATCTATGGCCACCAACTAAACATCATAAACGGATAAGTGCGACCATTGAATATTCCGCATCACTTCCGAATAAACGGCATTGTATGGAGCAAGCTCGTGAAAATTGTCCCATCGATTCCATTTTCAATAGGGATCATCATTGAGCAAAACATATTGAAAAACCGAAATATTTTGACGATCGTTTTCAAAATGATATCCTGTATTGAGAAATCCATTTTATGAAATATATTGCTACTTTGAATATTTCTCGACAAAAATCGGTGAAAAGTGGTACCTTGGCGTATTCAATTAGGAAATGTGGAAAGTTTAAATCGAATGGGACCACTTTCTGAATTCCCGCTGGTCTAATTTTTGGTGCTTTATGGCGTAAATAGTTGAAGAATAAATCAAATTCTGTGATAAAGAAAATTAAGCATAATAAGCCATGTATTGGGCTTTTTTCCCATGTAATAGGTCTCCGAAAATCGTTTTTATAAATAATTATTTTTTAACATGTTAAAAAATTCCGAATTTTCAGTAAATTTTGAAATTGGAACTGTAATAAAGGAAACATTTTTAATGAGCAGCTGTGCGAAATTCGGCCTACTTCTTGTTATGCATCTAAACATGCTTCGCTTGTCTTCATATCTTTTTTTCATCATATATAATTATATATTATATATAATTATTTACTAAAGTGAAGATAGCCATCCAATATAATCTGCATTTCTACAAAAACTCCGACTCTCCTTCTTGTCATACCCACCGCTGTAAAATGAGAGTATTCTCATTTTTTTTTTTTTCCAAAATATATGTGATATCCAAAAGGAACCTTAGGAAGCGTGAAATTCTGAACTGATTTAGCCATGTCCGTTATTCTATGCGTCTCTGTGGTGTGTGTCGTTGGCGCTCTCCTGGCCGCAAAAATGAAGATATCGACTTCAAATTTGGTAGTATATTGAAACTTTCTGCATGCAAGTTGGTTGGACAAATTGGTTAGAGCAGAAGCGCGCAATAGAGCGTAAACTGAACGCAACCCAGTTTTTATTAACAAAAATTTTTAGATTTTTGCTCGTTACTCGGAAGTTATTAGTCAGAGGGCTTAAGTCTTCCACATTTATTTTACGAAGTACTCTATCCTTTAAATGCAAAAATGGTCAAAATCGGCCATGCTTACACAAAGTTATGAGTGATTAAATTTTCTTTTTTCACTTTTATCAAGGTTTGTGCTTATTTATCATAAGACAAACGAGACAGAATGTTTAAAACTATTGTGTACATTCCTCAAAAATCGGTTAATTCTAAAATGAACTTGTGACCAGTTCGCTGTATTTCCTATCACCATTAATTTTTTCTTAATCATGTAGCTGGTCATGAGTATGAAATAAAAGAACTTGATGAGTAGAATGCAAAAAGCGTAGTAGTGGATATGCGAGGTTCGGACCACTTAGTTTTAAATTCGTATCACTGAATTGTGATTATTGGGATTTTATTTTCGACCTATTCGCAAATTATCTGTAGGAGCTTATATATATACTACCTTTTCTACTCTTGTCCCTTTAAATATCATAACATGATGCAACTCTTGACTCGACTAATTTTGCGTTTCGCAAGCGTGCGGCTTAAATATCGTTTTATAAACAAGTTACCAGTATCTACATTTACTGCGTTAACTTTTCAACATTCGCCAGCTCTGTGAAGCTGGTTTTACCATTTTGAGGATTTGGTTTTTAGATAATCCGCTGGTTTTCATGCAATCTACTTTTATCAAATTTTACACAAACACAAAAATATGTTAGCAAAGGTATTAACCCCAAAGCTTTGATACGATCGCTATTTAAAACAATGCGTTACAGTTCGCGTTTCTTATTATTAGCAGTTTTCAACATCTCAATAATATAGACAATTAATTTTGGGTTATTCAGCTTACCATTTTCAATATAATACGAAGTCTCATGATATCTTTCGTCAGTAAAACCGGGCCTTTTAGCTTTCAATGCTTTTGTTTCGAGTTTTGCCTGAAAATATTTTAAGTTGTTTTATTAAGTAAATATATCTATTTGCTTATTAAATAATTCAATATTTAGAATTTATACAGTAGACTGATATTAAGCATTTTAAAACTTCTTTGGCCTAATTCGTAACAAGAATACATGGAAGTTTCTTTTATCTCTCTCTCTCTCTCTCTCTCTCTCTCTTTGCCAATTTTTGTGCTTTGTGATTATCTGTAATAGAAAAGTCTCAGCATTTTTATAATGTAGATTTTAGCTTAACATTCGTCACAACTATTAAACTATATCGTCTCGGTCTGTTACTAGGAAGTAGGACGAAGTCCAATCTCAATTAATTTGCAAATTGGCACATTGGAAATCAACCGAAAATGTATGCTGAAAGCGTTTTTTTTGAATATTTCTTAATTAAACATATACGATTGCTTTAGGGTATATACATAAAAAAAAAGAATTCTGTTTGTGTACGCACCAGGGGTCTCTCATTTGTCAAAGGCTGGAAATGTACGTATTATTTTTTGATAATTGATGGTTTTGAATCAGTTTACAAATGCGTCTCTACTTTTTAGACATTTTTAAAATTTTAATGGAGAGAGCAAGGATTCGCTAAAAAATAATGTTATTACTTAATTATATATAGGGTATTCGATTTGATATACGATGTTTCAAATTATACTTTTATATAATTTCATCAGCAACATATTTCAAATAATAGCGACAATTAAAAATCATACACAAGTATGTTCTTTGATCGGTTTAGTTCATTTTCAATACCAATCTGCGTGCAGGAATTTCCCATAGTGGAGGCCGATATCTTCGCTTTTGCCACCAGGGAAATGTTTTCCACAGATATTCCATAGACGGACAGACGGGCAAGTAGACACTGAAGAGGCTAGGAATTGGAAGGGGATCGAGAATATATGTACATATATATATATATATATATATATATAGGTATATACTTTGTATTTTCTACAAAAAAAGAGGTCCCACTCGGGTGCTGCAAACGTTTTGATGATATACCCCCTTCCTCCGTAGTGCGTGCAAAAAAAATGAAAATCTGAATCTGAAGAATGTGTTAAGGTTGTTTTACAAAAAAGAAATACAAGTGTACGTTAATACATTCCTCTTCCTCAGCAAGCAGAATTCTATTTACTTCACTGATTCTAAAAGTATCAGCACCACGTGTATGTATTAAAAATTATGCTCAATATTGTACATATTTTCTATTTACTTTTTTATTTTTGTCTCAGATAATGTGTCCACATATAATTAACTTTATAGAAAGTTATTTTTCGAATTAACTCTTTTTTCCCTCACCTTTTTTAAATCTTTCAATTGATCGGAATCTTCTGCTTTTCGTTTTTCGGCGTTTTGAATTTTCAATTTTTCTTTATCAACAACGGCAGGAGTTGATATTAACTGTAAATAGGAAGAAAAAAACAAACCAGTGATGAATAATTGAATCCATAAATATTTTAGCAATTGCAGTAATTTTATGTACAATGCGCTAAACAACAGCTACTGTAGGTATTTTGTTAGTATTAAATGATATCGTGTTCAATCAACGTCTGGCATAATTCCAAAATGCGTAAAATTTGATTTCAGTTTATGGTTAATTTATTTTACAAATGATAATTTCTTCTCTACTATGTGGTCCGGACTGCATAATGTCTTCGAAAATCAAATTTATGAGATTGATATTTACATTCCGAAAATTGTAATATTTCATGATTAAATTCATTCACACTTCCACCACATCGTTTGACATTCGTGAGAAAAATCTTTTAATTTATGAAGTGATAATGTTTGTAATTAAATACTAGAAAGTTAGAAAGCTACGGCTGTTCTATTTTCGAAGAATGTTCAATACTTGTCATTGAAATCATCAAAATTATTAATTTTTTTTTGTAATTGAAGTAGGAATAGGAAGGGATTTGGTAATTTTTTTATAATTCTGTTTAATGTAGAGAGATATTTATATCAGAATTAAAATCAATATTGGGCTCAATTTTTGGAAAATGTTTACGAATTTTTAATAATTTTTGAAATTGCTTATAAATTTAAGCCCCTTAGAAAGACGTGCGAGGCGAACAAGGCATACGTGAAGTCTCGATGAACATGACAGCGTATCTTCGGCGTCAGATAAAATGGATAAATTTTGTACTCAACTGCGGTTATAGAAGAAACGGTTGAAAAATCCATTGCATAATATTGGTTGAGGCAAAAATGAAAACGTCTGAACAAGCTGTGCCCATAAACATTTCATATGGACGTGTTTAAAGGCTACTACGAAAAATTGAATGCAAAAAATCTTGTATAAAGTGGTTGCTGCTCACAAACATCTGAAAACGGTTGCCCTCACCACCTCAATCAGGAATTTAGAGATGTTCAAAGTGGCTTTAATTGGGTTTCTTCGACTACCCTACACACTGGAAGCACATAAAGAATTCGGTTGTTTCGACCGGCAAGACCCTTGTCTCCCAAGGGAGCAAGGGCACAAGCATTAGCGGGAAGAGTTATGGAGTGCTTTCGGAAACGTAAATGACATAATTATCACCGAGCGCTGTGGTAATAACTGGATGTTGCTGTAGATATATACTATTCAGCCTTCTTAGATCGGTGAAATATAAAAATAAGTAGAAAGCAACCTCATTCGAAGAAAAGAAACATAAAATCTACACTTTCAACCTTATCCATCAAATAGTGAAAAATGGTATGATTTGCACATGAACTGCATCCGCAACCACCTTGTGTAGGGTATTCGGCGCCTATTATCTCTTTGGAAACGTATAAGTGCTTGATACACTTTTGAATTGCATTTTGCGTCAAATGAAAAAGTCATATTGGAAGCAGAGAACTGCTTTGAATTGCTTCACCAATTACATTTCTTGAAAAGCGTAAAATCTTTAGAAGGCCGAGATAAACTTCACACTTGCAATCTTCATTTAGAACCAAAGACCAAATTCTTAACCTAAATTAACCTAATTCTTAACCTAAATCGGCAATTGTAATATTTAAAATGTTACTTACGCTAATGGCTACTAGACAATAATTCAAATTCATTAATCAGCCAAATTAAAGATATGAATAAAAAAAATTTGGCGATTGCACCACTTTACGACTTGATTCGACGACATCCAATTGACGACTTCGCTGTACTTCTTCACCCCTTTCATTCAATCGTTTACCTGTTCGCTTTCAGCTCTTCACAATCTACTCTTCTTATATGTATCTATATTTTACATTCATATATATCTTGCCAATAAGGAAAGACCTACGAAGAGTCTTAAGTTGAGGAAATATTTACTAAAGTCGACGAAAAATTGGAAGAGGACGTGGTGGTTATGTTTTACCTACTCATGACGTCACAATTCCAAAAAATGGCGTAATGCGAATGGTTCCAGCCATTAAAAGAAAATTTAACCCTCTAAAAGAGAGTCCGCTAAAGGTTCAGTATATATAATCCCGACACTTCCACACACTTCCTGGACACTTCCATAATTTAGACAACACGAAGGTTCAAAAAGAAATTATTTGAAAGTTCAGAAAAAATCACACTCGTGTTATTGACACTCCAACATTTAAAAAAAACGTGTTCAAACTGAACGGCTAGGACTACAAAACACTTCTCTGGTCGCGTTACGGATTGTCTATGAACAATAATTATAATGATAATGGTAAAGAATTTTATATTAATGGAAATACGCCACTATTTTAAAAAATCTTCTGAAGCTTATCCATGGTATAAGGGGAATTGGAACAATTGACTGTTGGTTATAAAAATGAATATATGTGCATTAGATGTACGCACGCATGTATCAATAATACAAATCGTAATTTAATGTAAATTTATTTATAAACAACTTTTTTTTCGAAAATTGACTATTTATTTCTTTCAGCTGGATGGCTACGGTCTAGACCACAAGAAGAACACCCACATTATAATCGGTAATTAAGCGTAATATATGTCTTTAATATTTGTATTACACGTTCGTACAATAATTTAGACTCACTTTTTGTCATACGTTTCATGAAATACGTTTTCCTAGCGTCTCAAGACATTTGTTCGTTGACCATTTTTATGGATGGCCATTGATTCGGCTGTTTGCCGTTAATTATTTATATCAAATTATTCTGGCAACACGTCATTTATTTCTTTTTAATTGATCATTTAATTTATGTTTCAATAGCTATGAGTGTCTTGAAGATATATACGCGCATATAAATATGGAAAAAAGCTTTCAACAATTTTTGAAGAAAGTTACGTGATTTTACTAATGAAAATATCGATGCTGATGCTTATGTAAAATTTAAAATTGGAATACTTTGCTTGTATGTATATATATAAATGTTTGGTTGATAAATGCATACACATATAAAATCAAATCTTCGAAGGCTATACCGATCATCAAATAAATTCCACTGCAGGTCTTTAGATCGTACCATAAACTTATAAATATACAGATAAGGACAGTTAAACTGATACCAAAACACAACAAACCTTTAATATGAAGCGAGAATTAGTAATAGGAGCATCATATGAACATATGATGCAATGCGAACTGCTTTAAAAAAAATTTATAATGAACTGCTTTTCCTTCAACTGTATGCCGGTACTAATGCATATACTAAACGTTTTCGAAGCGATCCTAAGTCTCATTGAAATAGCGTAGCGGTTCACATAACAATGTAACCCTAAGAATCTTCTCCACATCTTTGAAGATAATGCTTCTAAATTTCCATAAATAATAAAAGAAATATTTACCGAAGAATAAGCAATCCTAATCATTATCGTTTGTTTTCGATTTCGTATATTAAAAAATTGTTATCTTCTAATTATATGCTGAAATTGCGACACAAGGCCATGTTAAATTTGTGTGCAGCTACTTACGCCTATGTGTATTCCACTTTACAGTGCCCGCTGGCACAAGGGTTTATTTAAGAGCAAACCGGCGACTCACCCCCGCTAATGAATGAATGAATATGGCGACCATCCCTATAACTAAAATACCAGATTTATCGAAAGTGTATGGCCGTTTTGGCTTTTCAAACAGTGACTCAGTATGGAACAAATCGAACAAGTCGATGACAATCACTTCAATTTCGGATTGCTGTTCTATCTACCATATTTCTTATATCTAATCCCAACGACTATTACCGATTGTGCGATTTTCCGAGAAAATGAATATGTTACTATGAATATGTTATTTTCTTACTCAACCCTCGGAATTGTAGACCAACTTATTATATCTATCTATTTTTGTTTTTGTGTTTAACCTACAGATGGCAGCTTTCGATATTGACGGCATTTGGCCTAATGAGTTTGTTTTCGTCCAAGGATGAACTTTGTTGAAAATGTATTGAGTTGGCCCATTTTTACCGCTCGACTATATAAGATACATTTATAGCTTCATGTGGCTACATATTTTCGCATATTAAATACATTTGGGAAATTCGGATCAGATAGGATCATTTTTTGAATCTCTACCTATACAAACCCTGTTGTAAAAATGAAGCCTTTGTATGGCAACAAGTCCTAACTTTTAGTATTTTACTATAAGAGTTGATCCTGAATAGCGATTTGGTGCAAATTTAATAGAGTAAATTCGAACCGCATAGATCTATACTTCGAGCTCCTCCCCATAAATGATGTCATGGGAAGTAAGCCGTGAAAAGAAGGTATGAATTTCGTCATGTGGTAAGGTATAAGGCTTTGCATGATTGTAACGCTTTAACTTGTTCATTTTATGATATGGAAATTAACAAAGAATATGCCTTGAGAGTACTAACTCTTTTCATATATTTTGCTATAATTAACGAATTTGAAAATTGGACAAACTTATAAAAAATTTTTGCTTCCGTATAATTATCTCCTTTCTTTTTCAAATGTTTCCTTTGCATAAATTAAAAAACTGACGACAGATTGAGGCAGCACAGACAAGCTCTGCTGTAACGTAAGTATGGGAAAATACTTGTTTTTGCTTTTAAAAACATTAAAAGTAGTTTGGAAAGCGCGTGGCCATCAACTAAATATGAAGATCTTTTTAAATCTTTTCGTCGATCGTTGATACGGGCATCAGTGCATTTTCTCACTTCTTCCATTTTGTTACACACACCCACACACATACACACACACATATATATATATATACATACATATATATATATATTTAAGATAATAAATCAAGAAAAATCAGAAAGTATTTAAGGCGAAAAGAAATTGGCAAATTTTCAAAAAAATAGAAAACAACAAATCATAGCGCTTCAAGGTTTATGGCAGATATGAAATCTGAACAATGGACGAAAGACATATTGCAGCAAAGAGTCAACACTTTTATGTTGTAATACAGAAAAGGTAAGACATCTATCGAATCTTGAATACTCGCTACAGCTTATGCCAAATTTCAAATCGATGATTT